ACTTTATGCTTCCTTCTTGTTGGTTCTGTCTGACTGAAACAGTGTTCTATGGCCCAGTAAGCGGTTCTGAAGCATCYCCTTCTCTTCTGAGACAGATCTTTGTGAATGACCTAATGAACTTCGATGCCAACGCTTTTAATAATCAATTTTTAATCGATTCGTTGTTGCAGCCCTAATATTAAATAAATACTCACATCCCCCTTCATCATGCGGACTTTAGCTAACCACCAWCCACAAGGCTCCTGTTCATTGGCTCTGGAGAAAATCTGCCAGGATATAARTCAAGTGTCAACGTGATGCTCAAAGAAAAAAGAACAACAAAAACAACAACAACAAGGGAAAGATCTACGTGTCTGCCTCACCTCCACCTCCTCGCCCTCTCCAATGTCCTTTTTAGCATCAGCAGGCGGTGGCAACCTGACATCACTGAAGGGCACCTGGCGTTCTGGCTGCCAACTATAATACAATACACTTTGATTAAAAATAAATAAATAAATGTGTAACGGTGTGTTTGTCTTTCGTATTTGGATTTGATACGTTGACATGTGGAGGAAACAGAAGCTTACTTGTTCTCAAAGGCAATGGTGAGAGAGTCATCGTGGATGTCTTTGACAAAGCCCTGCAGGACAGACACAAAAAAATAAAAAATAAAGTGGGTCCCTGTGTTGTTGAACTCATTCACAGGTGCACTCTCACACTTGTGCACTCCAGCGAATAGTTTCCCACTAGCTCAGAATTCGACAGCTGGCACCAACATGCCAAGACATGCAGCAACCACTTAATCATCAACCCAAGTAAAGTGAATTAACAGTACGTGGAACAAACATTGTTTTCAAGTTCCTTCCACTTTTTCCTTTCTTTTTTTATTCTGTTGTTTTTGTCTGACAAGAGCAGACATTTCTACATTGTGAGAAATAAAATTATTATTCTAGCTCACAAGCAAACATTAGCTTAATTGCCTAATCCTGGTCTTTAAGGCCAATATTCTGCAAGTTTCAGTTATTCCTCTGCTTTGACACACCCGATTTGACTCAATGAGGGATTAATATCTTTCTAAGTAAAG